GAATTCCACTGATTTTTTTTAAATGTTTGTGTATTTTTGTTTGAGACATTTTGTCCATTTTGGCTGACGTGCATCGATTCAGTGTTTGCTTAATTTATTTTATTTTAACTAATTAATTTACAACCTCATTTCCAAAATATTTGGGACGCTGTAAAAAATGTAAATTTAATCAAAATACAAATGATGTGCAAATGATTTGAACACTTTCACTGAAAATAGTACAAAGACAACATATCAAATGTTGTAACTGAGAAATTTTATTGAAAAATTTGCCCACTTTGAATTTGATGCCAACAACACATTCCAAAAAAAGTTGGGACGGGGTCGACAAAAGGCTGGTAAAGTTGTGTAATGCCAAAAATAAATAAATAAATAAATAAAATAATTTGGTATACAAAGAGCATCCCAGTCTTTCAGAAGTAAAGATGAGGAGAGGTTCACCACTCTGTGAGAGACTGCATGATCAAACAGTGCAACAATTCAAGAATAACGTTTCTCAACATAAAATAGCAAAGAACTTTTGTTTATCATCTACAGTACATAATCCCATTAAAAAACTCAGAGAATCTGGAGAAATCTCTGTATGTAAGGTTCAAGACCAAAAACCAGTATTTGCAGGCCGTGATCTTTGGGCCCTCAGGCAGCACTGCATTAAAAACAGACATGATTCTGTAGTGGAAATCACTGCATGGGCTCAGAAACACTTCTGAAAACCACTGTCTGTGGAAACAGTTCATCGCTGCATCCACAAATACAAGTTAAAACTCTTAAATGCAAAGGAGAAACCATAAATGAACAGGATCAAAATGCTGCCACCTTTTCTGGGCCTGAGCTCATTTAAAATGGACTGAGGGAAGTGGAAAAGTGTCCTGTGGTCCAACAAATCAAAAATTTAAATTCTTTTTGGAAATCATGGACACTGTGTCCTCCGGTCTAAAGACCAACCAGCTTGTTATCAGTGCACAGTTCAAAAGCCAGTATTCATGATGGTATAGGGGCCATTAGTGCACATGGCATGGGCGATGTGCACATCTGTGAAGGCACCATTAATGCTGAACGATATATACATGTTTTGGAAACACATGCTGCCATCCAGATGACGTCTTTTTCAGGGAAGGCCTTGATTATTTCAGTAAGACAATGCAAAACCACATTCTGCATGTATTACAGCAGCATTGCTCCGTATTAAAAGAGTCCAGGCGCTAAATTGACCTGCCTGCAGTCCAGACCTGTCACCACTGAAAACATTCTGCGCATTATGAAATGAAAAATGCAACAAAGGAGACCCTGAACTGATGAGCAGCTGAAATCCTGTACCAAACAAGAACAGGAAAACATTTCACTTAAACTACAGCAGTGTCTCCTCAGTTCCCAAACTCTTACAGAGTGTTGTTAAAAGAAGAGGTGATGAGACACAGTGGTAAACAGGCCCCCGTCCCAACTTTTTTGGAACATGTTTTTGGCATCAAATTCAAAATGGGCACATATTTTTCAAAAAACAACAAATTTCAGTTTCAACATTTGATATGTTGTCTTTGTAGTATTTTCCTTTAAAAGTATGGTTCACATGATTTGTGCATCATTGCATTGTTTTTATTTACATTCTGCACAGCATCCCGACTTTTTGAAAATGGGGCTGTATTAGTTATTAAATTTATTAGTTATTATTACATAAAATGGTTATGAACACACTGCCTGATGACTGAGACACTGTTTTATGATAGTTTTGAGAAGATTCTGTCCTAAAACATGTTTTTAAAATCTATTCATTCATGGTGGAGGGGAACATGCAGGGCGCTGTGAGGCAAAATAATCTGCAACTGAAATAAGTTTCCACTATTTTACCATCATCAGCATTCCGTGTAAGATGTACGTAGGTTCACTGGTGGTTTTTGGATTTTAATAATACTGTAAATAATGAAAAAGTTGCTGAGTTTCTCCACAGGGCAGCACTGCACATCAGACCACTCAGCGACTTCACATCAGCGATTTAGAAAAAGCTGTAAAATTCCACTTTAAAAAAGTGATTTTTTAGTACGAACTGACTCTGCACAGACTAAACACGAGCACGCCTACAGCAGTTCACTCCTCACCCCACACGCGCTCATTTGCATTGTGATTTGACTGGATAAAGAAGACAAACGCTTTCAAAACAGAAAGGTGATCACTTAAGACTTCACTACACATTTCCATCCCCTCCCATTTCTCTGAATGAGAGATATTTAAACGTTTAAGGACAGAAACCATCGTAAAACTCCACCCTGGATCCGGTATCTGGTCCTGCAGCGGCAGTATTACTGTACGTTACTTTCACAGCATGCGCGCACAAGATAAACACGGCCTGTGGAGAGCGTCCAGGTGCACCATGGGAAAATTCCTGGACAGTGATAGTGGTATCTGTTCGCTGCCCTGCCATACAGAGAGAAACGGAGCAGTGCTGAGTGGAAACAAAGCTGAAGAGACCCTGGCTGTTAAAAGGCAACTGGGATTGAAAAAATAACATTGATTTTAAGAATCAGATTGTAAGAGCTGTTTTCAGAACTCAGAAGGCCCAGGCAACACTGACTGTCTACATAAATAAAAAATAAATAAAAAAGCCTTAAAAACAGCATCAGAAAACACAGAAAGGAAACAGCAAAGGGCAGAAATGCCCTCATTTTCAACATTTTTGCCCCTTAACAAAAGCACAGCAGCGCAATGACTCGCGAATGAACACCACGATATGGAAGATTGTGAAAGAGCGAATCTCTGTGCTCCTTTTGCGTTTCCAAAACGAGAAAACCATGAATTGCAAAAATGCCTTTATTCACTTGACATTGAGCTCATTTGTTTAGTTTTTTTGAGTTTGTACATGAAGAGTATTTCTATTTAATATTGTATATTTTCATGTCATTTATTTGCACCATGCTATAAATAATGCTGCTTCAATTCTGTACTTTGTCAATCAAATGGTGAATGAAACTGAATCTACTCGTGGCTTAACCTGCAAAAGTTTTGATTCTGAGATTAAAGGGCCCATATCCCAAATTAAAACCCAATACTCTCCAGCATGCCAAGGTCCATTTAACATTTGTGGTTTCATGTACCAAAAATTAATACATAACCATATTATCCCTTATAAGCAAACAGCCTGTTTTTTAACTGTGTCTTTAAGAGTGTATGTAAATGAGCTCTGTGCTGATTGGCTGTGCCTCATTCAAAAAGCAGTCCAGGCTGAAACACTCCTTGCAACTTCAGTGGGAGTGGCTAGACTGCTGAATTAGGAGGGAGGATATACATCAATGATTGTTAATGACATCACAAACACTAAATTGAAAACGCTGCTTAGTTTTTCGATAAATGGCCAGTATGTCCTGGAGGGTGAACAGTATGTTTAGAAAGGTTCACATACTGTATAAAGTGCTTTTATTCCAAAAAAGTGAGGAAAATTTGTTTTTCTATGATACAGGCCTTTTATATCACTAGTTAGCGCTCTCATTAAGGTCAAATGTCGGGGGGGGGGTGATTAGCCCATTTTTAGTTGAAAATCAGGCCGTTTGGTTGATGAACTCAAGTCAGGGACAGTCACTGAGCAAATCTTGACCAAGGAAAATCAGAGGGTTTGGCACCATGCTGCAATTTGTGCAGCATCAATCTCGTTTATACAGGCCGGTTTAACTAATTACTTTTACAACGCTGGCCCAGAGATAAGCCTGGGCACCATTTGAATGTGCTACTCCATTACTTCTCTCATAAAAGCCTAATTATGCAATACCCAAATCCCACATACCATCCTTTATCACCACACTCATGCATTTTCATCCCTCACTGACCCTCTTAACACCAAATCAAATAAATGCCTATTTAGTAAGGATGGTTGACGCCAATATTTCTCATAGTACATTCACTATATATACACCAAAAGTATCCAGACAGTTCTTATGAGTTCAGCTACTTTAAGGTCACCTATTGCTCACAGGGACTGTATAATCTCTACTGAAAAGCACTGACCAATAAAATGGAACAGCTGTACATGAGCATAGGGTCTCCATGGCCAATGCCAAGTGTGGGCTAGAGGGGTATAAAGCCCCCCAGCATCGGGCTGTGGAGCAGTGGAACTGTGTTCTCTGGACCTTTGGGATGAGTTCATCCAGTACCATTGGGATGAGCTGGAGTGATCCAGAACTGACCATACAACATCAGTACCTGACCTCACCAATGCTCAATCAAATCCTCACAGCAATGTTCAACATATAGTGTAAAGACTCATTATAAACACCTTCATTTCAGGAGAAACTATGGAGCCTATAGTCATTGACATTTAGTGTATTCGTCAATGCAATATCTTCACAAAACGTATGAATGTAAATTTCTAGCTGGATCAGCTTAACAAGGGTTTAACAATGAAGTTTAAAAAATAAAAGCAAAGAAATGCAAAATAAAAATGTAAAATCAAATCGAATTGGGTAAAACACAAAAAACAAAGTGGAAATAAAAATTAAAATTCATGCGTTATAATTTTCAATTAAATTTAAATTAAAAAAAGACTATTTTTAGGCTGAATATTTTTTTAAACAATCACCTGCTGATACTAATATGATTCCGATATCACTGTGTATCCCTATTATTCATTATTTCGGATGAGACTGTGTGAAAATTTAAACAATACATTACTGCGATGCTGTTAAAATATACCAAACACACTTAAAGGGCACTAATACGCATTAATACCATTTCACCACAGGTATTATACCAATAGACGCTGTACTGTAGTTCTTGTATTCCTTTATAAACACTTATATTTTCACAAACTACTGCATACTGTGCTCAGGACGCGACTGCATACAGTCACTGGATTATTAAAACGTGAAAAGTTAAGATTATCACTGGGTTTTATGCCACAGTATGTGATTAAAACTGTTACCAAAATCAACTTGTTTTCAAAATAAGCTGATAAGAGCTGCCAAGAACAAATACAGGCATTACACGCCAACAAAAGCACCTTAATCTGTTAAACTTACCATGATTACAGCTTTTGGTGAGACTTCCACTGAGCCTCCAAAACACTAGGAACAACGTGGAAGAGGGAAAAAAAGGAAAAAAGATGTAGTTCTCCTATGAGAAATTCCCAAGAGGCCGGCTCAGAATGAGGCCATTCACTTTCTGCAGAACATGAACAGCGCCAAACCGCGAATATGTGCCTAATGTGGTCCCTCAGTTCGAGTCTGCCTGGAATTATAACACTTTCATCTCAGGCTTCGGAACAGCAGTGAACAACGGAGAACCGCGGGAGGCCTGCGCGAGCGGCGAAAGCCGAGAGAGTGAACGCAATCAAAACAGATCAATTTCACAAAAGCTTTCCAAAGAAACACATCAATCCGGCCCTTTGCCCAAGAACGTCGGGTCATATGATGGCCGTGGAGAGGAAAACAAAAGGAGTATTGTTGCTCAGAGACTCCTGTTTTCTAGGAACAGTTGGAGAGGTAGGTACATGCAGCACAGAACCTTCCCATCGGTGGGAGAGGCAAACCTCGACCCATTTTTTTTTCCTGAAACAAAAGCAAACAGAAGTGGCAGTCTAATGGGAGAATGAATGATTGACAGTCTTTTCAATACCGGCACGCCTGTGAGATAAAACTCTGAACAGGTTCATTTATTTAGGGCAACAGGTTGTTCTTATTCCTAAGAAAGAAAAAATCCATTTCTGTCAATAATCTAACAGTAAAGTCCACAGCAGGGGTGTGGTAACCAGGTGGGGCATGAAGGGGTCTACACCACACCGCTTCAAAGTCAGGCCTCCCCAATTTCTCCAATGGCAACGAAAAATTTTCTTGCACTCGTATGACCTCTCACGCTCCCCGCCTTCAACAGAAGGAGAGACTAATACAGCTCTCTTTAGATCAGCACAACTTCTCAGTAGGTGCAATCACCATGGCCACCACTGGGTGCGCAAAAAGGCACAGAATAACCCCCCCACCAGCACCACCACCCCACCAGCACCACCACAACAGCAACTGTTAAACACAGCATTAGCTTCCACCATTGTTTAACACGATGGTGAAAACTTAGCCAAGCTAGTTAGTATAGGCTGTTTACAGAGTGACCGAGTAGTAGGACTGAATGATCAGACAGCCAGTCAGACAGTCACTCACTCAGACAGACAGTCAGTCAGTCAGTCAGTCATAGAGTCTGTCAGACAGTCATCCACTCACTCAGACAATCAGACAGAAAGTCAGTCAGTCAGTCAGTCAGTCAGTCACTCAGATAGACAGACAGACAGTCAGAATCAGTCCCTCATTCAGTCAGTCACTGTCACTCAGACAGTCAGTCACAGAGTCAGTCCCTCAGTTACTCATTCAGTCAATCAGATAGACAGACAGAATCAGTCCCTCAGTCACTCAGTCAGACAGTCACTCAGACTGACAGTCAGTCACAGAGTCAGTCACTCAGATAGACAGACAGTCAGAATCAGTCCCTCAGTCAGACACTCAGACAGAAAGTCAGTCAGTCAGAGGCTGTTTGTCAGACAGACAGAGTCAGCAGTCACACAGATAAATAGACAACCAGTCACATAGTCTGTCAGTCAGTCACTCAGTCACTCACTCACTGTCACTTACGCACTCAGTCAGACAGACAGTCAGACAGAGTCACTCAGACAGACAGACAGTCAGTCACAGAGTCAGTCCCTCAGTCACTCATTCAGTCAGTCACTCAGACAGTCAGACAGAAAGTCAGTCAGTCAGTCAGTCAGTCACAGAGGCTGTTTGTCAGACAGACAGACAGACATAGAGTCACCCAGTCACACAGATAAACAGACAACCAGTCACATAGTCTGTCAGTCAGTCACTCAGTCACACTGTCACTTAAGCACTCAGTCAGACAGTCACTCACTCATTCACTTAGACACTCAGACAGTCAGCCAGCCACAGACTGACAACAGTATTGTTCCATCAATCAAGACTTCTATCAAACTGCACAATGTTAATGTTAGACAATGCACAGCCTGTTCGAACGTGTGTATGTATGAATCAGCTACACAGTACAACGGCACCAAACTCACCGCCGTGGGGCACAGCACCCTAACTGATCAACCATCACCAGTTTTAACTCGAGATCAAAGAATTCTTTCACAATTCACAACTTTTTCCTGCGACAGCAATCAGACAGTGCAAACCTGACTTTAGTTGACCAAGGAAGCCTGATTAGAGACTGATTAGACTCAATTAGACCAACACACAGGTGAGGTGCACAGAAGTCAGGATGTGAGGCAGAGCATCAGCAGGTCCTGTCTCACAATGCAGTCTACGTGACTCGGACTTTTGAATTTTCCGTTCAAACTTAATTTCCCCCATTTCTCACGACCCTCCACAGGCTCAGAGCGACTAAACCGCCCCGCTTCCTCATAATGACCCCATTTAGGTTCTGGAAAAAGACATTAGCAGCGCAAGGTGAGTTAGAGGAGACTGCAAGTGGAGCAGGAGCTGCTGGAGGCGAGACTGAGTTACAATGGCAAACCCAGCCAGCAGGAGTGGGCGTGGTTATTCAAATAAAGGGACAGTCTAATCTAATTTCAGCACTTAATTGATTATTTAAAAAGGCATAAACAGCACTCCACTTTTTTTTAAATTATCGTTTAGGGCTGGGAGATAACATTCAATATGATCATATTATTCCACAATACCGCAGCCAGACGATATTAAGTCCACATCGAAGTTAATGTCTTACATTTCTTAGAGTTTGTTTACATTTGCCAAAAATGACAAAGGGAACAGAATCTCCCTCTAAAATGGCATACATTACAGCTAAAGAGGAACTCCTGTATAATTCAGTTTTTGAGATGTAATCAGAGTGATTCAGAGTGGTTTGGTGTGAAATGGTTCAGATGTCTTTACAGTGGTGGTGATAGGAACCAGGGGTCGCCATGACTACAACACAAATATAGACAGACATTTTATTTACTATCCAGAACCACCAGTGAACCTACACGAGTCTTCTGAGTTTATATGAATGTTGATGATGGAAAATAGTGGAAAATCTGAAATAATAAGTTTTCTTTGGGGACTATTTTGCCTCACAGCGCCCTGCATGTATCCCTCCACCATGAATGGAGTTTAATTTCTCCAAACTATCATAAAACAGTGTCTCAGTCATCAGGCAGTGAATTCATAACCATTTCCTGTAGTAACTTTCTGTGAGGGAGCTTTTAGAGGTGGACGTCTGGTTCCTATCACCACCACTGTGAACAGTTCTGACTCTGTAAGTTTCTCTAGAACAGAGCGTTTCACACCAAACCACTCTGAACCGCTCTGATTACATACTAACCGCTTAATTAAGGAACAGTTTTGAAAATTGTGCAGACTTCTCCTTTAAGCAGCTCCACCTGTCTGTGTTGAGACGAGAGGCAGATAGTGAGATAGTCTGACTGCAGGAATGAAGCTCAGCCAGTGAGGAAGCTCTGCATTGGCTGCTGTCACACCAAACCACTCTGAGCGACTCTGTTTACATAACCATTTCCAATTATGTGGAAATTTTTGGAGTGGAAAAAAAATTAGGTGGAATTCCCCTTTAAGAGTCAGGTCATGGATACTATGAGCAAAGTATGCAAACTAGAATTAAACTACTCAAATATCCATTGTGATATTCAAATAATATTAAGTAGCTTTTCAAACAGCAGCAGTTTAAACACACGTCTCTACAGGGAAGACCTGCTGGAGCTACAGACAGGGACGGTTAGACTCAGACAGATAGCACAGAGCTGTGAATCCACAAGAGAGGCAGAGCGAGGATGGAGGGAGGAAAAAAGGAGAAGTATCGTACACACAGAGGATCAGGAAGTTTAAAAATGTTCCCTAAAGTCAGGCCCAACACATTTTATGGTCTATTTTTCCCCCAAACATGTTAGACTAGATTAGTAAATAAACAGTAATTGTGCATTAAAAAAGTAACTTATTCTCACTTAGAAAATCAGCAACATGAAATCTGACCCAAACTTTTGCACACGAATGTCACACGACGCTGTCGGCTGGATGTTTGTGGTTCTCAGTCCAGCAGCAACACTGAGGTGTTTAAAAACTCCAGCAGCACTGCTGTGTCTGATCCACTCTCACCAGCGCAACACACACTAACACACCACCACCACGTCAGTGTTACTGCAGTGCTGAGAATGATCCACCACCCAAATAATACCAGCACTGTGGGGGTCCTGTGGTGGACCTGACCACTGAAGAACACTGTGTGTGCAACAAATACAGTTCTGCCTTACTGACCCAAATAAGTCCAGCACTGTGGTGGTCCTGTGGGGACCACCATTTGTTAAAACAGAACTGTATTCAGACTCCTGAAACACAAACACAGAGAGAGACAAAGCAAAGACAGTATCTCTCTCTCTCACACACACACACACACACACACACACACACTATTCCCACACTCTACCCGGTCACCCACACATACGTGTGTGGGCAGATGATGAAACGTTGTTTACACTAGCTCCTAATTGAAAGCAGTAATGTGCAGTTACGACTCCACTGACTAAAACTGCTTCACTCCACGTTAGGAAGGTCTGGACGATACGGCCAAAAACCTATCGATATATTCTATATTTCAATATTGATAGTTATCAATACTCACTGGAGTCGCATCAAAAAAGACTGTAGATCTGAGCATCTTTAACAACATACAAACTACTCTGTGCCAGCCAACCAGCAACTCATTTACATATAATTTACATGAAGCACGCCCTAATTCATGCAGATACTTCCTTCTCTTACGCAGAGTTCGTGGTCAGGGAGTGACTGCACTGCTCCCCCTACTGACCAAACTTTATAGTGTTGAAATTACACTAACAGCAAAAAATAATACGTGGAATAAATAAAACGTCTTAGTGTTTTTAAGACAGTATAATTGTGATAATATACCGTGATTATTTTCCTAAAATAATATATTTAAATGACGTTATTGCAGTGCATGACACTAGCTGTGTTTTGTACTGTGTATGTTGTGGGCGGAGTCAGTGGAATAAACAAAAGCACACTGTAATGTCTAAATTGAACATGGAGTAGTTGCAGAATTTGTTTATATTAATGCGCAATTACTTCCATTTTTATTTTTATTATTCGTATTATAGATGATAGAGTTTTGGTTTGTTAACCGCAAATCGAGAATGTTTTTCAGGTTGTTTTAAACTATCACATGCAAGCCTACCAGATGCAAGTTCAACCATACAGATAGGCCAAAGATGAAATTGATGAATAACAAAACTGTTGGTGAAACTGTTTCATATTATGATCAGATTCAATTGTAGAACTTTGATGAATAAAAGCCAACATGTGCTTTTTCTGTAAATGCCTTGAAAAACAAAAGGTTAGGTTGATACAACATTATCTGCCAAGATAAAAAGTCTATTAAAACCAAATACCTCTGAAATAGTACTTGAACAAGGCAAAATTGTTAACTTTTAATGTAAGTT